ACCTTGAATTACCTTGAATTACCTTGAATTAGATTCAAGCCCAATTGCCAAGATGTCAATAGAAGTCGTTCGGTCGTTCGGTGGTTAGATTTCTGCTGTCAAAAGCAAATAAATTGATTGAACGTGGATTAACGTGGTTCCAGAAGAATCACGTATAACAACTCTCCACAACTTTCTGTTTCCAGACCTTACATGACTCCTCTGGGTATCTTTTACTGAAAAGTAAAACAGTCACAATATTCAAGATTTTCGGATCCCCCGGGTGACTTACAACAAATGTCATGTTTTAGACTGAACACTAACAGAACCGTTTAGAAGCAACAACAGTGAGTGCATCGTTACATTACTACGTGATCAGTATTCCCATGACAATGGAAATTCAAAAACTGAACGGTTATAGTAAAGTTTGCTTGATTCTACTTACCAGGCTGTTTGATGTTCTGAGTTTTTCCACTTTCAAATTGTGCATTTATTTCCACATCGATCCCGTTGGAAAGTGCAAGCTTCACTTCCAGTGTATCACCCACTTTCACTGGGTTCGTTTCAAAAGTACAGCCAAAGTTTTTTATTGCTGGTCGAACTTTGACTTTGGTGTTGTAGACTCGTGACTCAGAATCCAGCTTAATGGTCGCCGTCAACTGGTGATCACGATTTGCCGTGTAAATGTGTCCCACCGGACTGTTTTCCACAAATCTGTCTGAATATGGTGCTTGTCCGTCTCCCCAATCAATCGTTACCTGTGCCAACACAGCAACTCCACCTCCTTGGTTCACCAGTAGCACTTCAAAAAGCTCATCCATCCCGGTAAATGCGTCTTCGGGGCTTAATTTGTAATTTCCAAGAGGGCCTTGGACGTTAGCTGTCACGCTGGTCGTTTGCTGCTGCAAGCCGGCATTCGCTTCAAAACGAACCTCATATATACCGGCTACAGCGTATCGGTGGGTCTGGGAGAAGTTGGGCGGCCATGGTTGTAGTTCTGTTACAGGTGGTTCATCGATATTTCCATCGCCCCACTGAATCTTAAGTTTGATGGAAGTACCGGCTCGGAACGTTACTCGGAATGTGATATCTTCGTTCATTTTCGCCACTCTGTTGCCCGAATCGTGGGGACAATAAGGTCATAAAATAGACAAAAGAGTAATATTCACTTTGAGAAATGTGAATGAGTACCGTAGATGATTCAAAGTTGATTGTCAGTTGACCTTAATGCCCATCAGCCAGCTTCCGTCAATATTGGACACCCTGTCCTATTTGTAAGTAAACATCAAGGAAATAACTAAAAAATAGTATTTCTTCCAAAAATATAGCACTGAAAATGTAAGATCAGATATAGTAACAGTCATAAGGATAGGCGTGTGAGACGCATGCGATATTCAGGGCAGAAGAGCATCCTTAGTGAGTCCCGGACAAGATGTAAACTCATCAGTATCTTGAGCCAACCCGTCAAGATGAACAAACAGATCTAGTATGGTGTTCAGTTACACTTAGTCACCTATATAAATTGGTGGCGTAGTAACAAACTGTGAGGAACTTCATAAGATTTACGAAAGATAATGAAGACGCTTCTCAGAGACCAAGAGGAATTCGAAATTGGTACCAATCCAGACAAAGCAGATTGATGGAGACGTACATAGCGAAGAACCTCAACCCCTGAGAATGCAAAACTATACTAAGGACGAGGACTACTGAAAATTGAACAAACGGAAACAGAAACACCAAGGATGTATGGCTCACCGGAACTGCACAAGGCAAAACGTTCGACGCGTAGTAGTTTTGGTCACTTGGTGTGCAGGTTACATTTTGTTTGCAAACGACTGGCTTTGCTTTTCTTGAAAGATTCATCCGAAACATTCGCATGAGATAACATCTGTGTACTAAATAGTCTTGAACTCTACACAAATTTTTCGGTTCTCCTCGATGTGCCCCAGCGACTGTGTCCTTTTGGTTGCAAGTAATGTTTAGCTTAACTTGAAGGGTGTTGCTTGTAGTTTTATTCAGTTCATCTGCTTTTAGTTTGCCAGTTACAAAACTTACCTCCCCACACCAAAAGCTCTACGTATCTTGTGAACAGGAGTCCGATAATGGTTCTGCCTCCCTGAATGTCTGTACTGTACCAAACACGTAGTTAGAACAATAAGATGTTCAATTTACGAAAGACCAACATGAACTGGCCGGTATTTGTAGCTTCAAAGACTCGGAGCCACTGCCTATAAACCTGGCATTGTGAGGAACTCATAATACATGCGTGAAAACAACTGCTGCTCGCTCATTTTAGCTTACGGCTGGCTCCATCGATGTGCCTTTGTATTCGAACTTCAAAGTCACCTCGGTTTGTGGAAACAACTACAGGGACGAATTTCTTCGGGTATCACTCAACTTTGACTGCAAACAGCGTCATCAGCTCGGTTTTGTCCGTTTTAAGAACCTACAGAGAAAAGTTTAGGCCATCTACCGATGAATTTCACTTTACATGTCATTTGCCAGCGTATTTGAAGTTACAGTGGTATCTGTATAGATAAAATAGAATGGCTAAGATTTCAGTGAACCTCTGGACACATTCAGCATTGCTGGAGAATTTCAGAACTGCAACACTCAAACGGAAGCGAAGAATAGTTGATGTCCAAGGCATTGACCACAATTGACCAAGATAACAAGAGCGAGACTGCAGTTGAGAAAGCTGAATTCGTAGTATTATCATTCGTGATTAACCAGATTCCAAACGCGCTTATTTCATGGGCTAAACACAACCGACCATAACGTGTAACATCTAGTTACAGTGTTCCAATACACAGTCTTGTGTCACTTCGTTTTTCTCATGTGCAATCGATATCTGCTGATACTAAATATGGTGACTGCACGTAGATAGCAGGAATTTAAGCTAGGCGTCAAAATCCTCCCAGAATGTTTCTCATCACAACAAGACATTATCGATCAACTTAAGCCAACTCCTTTCTTTGAAAAGTCCATGCGTAAGAACGATGAAAGTCCCTTTAACTCACAGAGGGTCAAAAGTTACCGACAGCCCACTCAGCGGAATATCAAACGTAACGTCTCCGTTGAGGTTTTGACTTCCCAACGGATTTTTGACCATGAGTTCGTAGGTCATTTTCTCTGGCTTGCCTACAGTTATTCCTTCAGATCGAATTTGTTTGAGCTCATAGTTCACCGTGGTACTCTTGACTGCACCGTTAATCTTCAGTTGTACTTCTAGGGATGATCCTGCGGTGAACGAAAATGTTATCGGCTGATTTGTTCCCACGGGGAAACTTGGGGAGTCAATTTTCAGTTCTAAAAGAGGAAGAAAGCAGAGCTGTCACGTAGATCTGGGAAGGCGGGTGAGTAGGAGAAAAGTCATGGTGAAAGACCGCAAAAATATCTACCAAAGCAAAAATGACTCAGTCGAATGTTTTTACTACATTACGAGGATGTGCTTTGCGCTACAAGGAGTGCTCTCAAGGGGTGCGTTACTTGGTCGCCCAACCGAACTAATCCTCATTTTAAACTCGTTTAATCACCTTATCACCACCGTTATTACTACCATCCTCTTGTCGTGATCACGTCAGTAGCAACAATCATAGTACCAACGGTGTTGAACGCCCAGGCATCTCAAGAAATCTCAGCCATTTGAAGAGTTGCAAGACAAGGGAGAAGGGAATTTCTCAGTACTCACATGCCGGACATTTGGGGGAATAAATGTAGTGGATACGGACGGATAACATAAACGCCAGCGGCTTCAGTCGACTGCTTCTAGTCGCGTACAGAAAAGCCCACCTATACCCCATTTTGGAAGGAGACGGCACCACTTTATTTCCACGTTCTTCGTTTTGGAGAACCGGACAACCACACTATGACAAACACTTGTGCGACCGGTCGAAGACCGTCGTCCTAGGGAAGGGACACTATGCAGAACCTTTTAACATTCCATTTGATTATGAAGGAAATTTTTTCCAAATGTATCTTTAGGCCAAATAATCTCTCTGTAACCAGTAACCAGCATCATGGGAGCTTACCCTAAACAGCTTCCGACATAAATATAAGCCAGTAGATTATGGGTACTTGCTTTTGAGGGGTGGCCATTGAAGTGCCTGTCTAAAGTGGGCCCACTTACTTTCGTGTATCCGTTAGAGAAACTCTCGTACGGACGAGAGTTTTGCCACTCTTCTTTCAGTAAGACGTCAGCAGTAAATCAGCCGTAGATAAGAATATTTTCATTCCATAATTCAACAAAGGACTCTGCTACACTGAGAATCGCCTGGAAAGGGAGTCTCATAGAGCTCGCAAAATCCATACTTAGTGTGGATTTTAACGTCAGATCCAAGATTCCAGAGTCTCATCTGCAATAACACCTGTCAGTTGTACCACAACAAAATCAATAAAAAATCATATCAAGATCAACATAAACATTTGTTATTCTCAAATTCTTTGAGTTTACCTATTCACTTGGTTTGTTCCAGGTTAACAGTTAACTCCTGTGCGATGTCACATCTCGTAATTGAATAGAGGTCTTCAGCGTACTTTAGAAGTTTTTTATTGGTAGCTTCTGAGAGACTAATTGTTAGTCACTTGCATCAGAAACGTTACTTTCGTTGTCTGTTATGCCAACAACTGAGGGTCTATTAAGCGCACAGTCATTTACTTATGATCAGTGGTTAGAGGATGGTTGGATAAAGCGCATTGGGCCGTTTTAGGAAGAGATTGCTCCGAAGGAAATTTTAGAAATAAAATTGCCGAGAACTTAAACAAAACTACTCACGAGGTTGCTGAAAACTCTTTGACAGTCCACGACCGGTTTCGCCTTTCTTGAGACTCATCAGGTAGGCGCAGTCCCCGAGTTTCCGTCAACATTATGTTCTACTTGAACCCAAGTTGGACTGTTTTTAAGAAATACACTCATTCGCAAATCAGTTTGGTTTCCACGAGAGACTCAACAGAATCTCTCGTTTATGATATTCTACAAATTAATTTGCAAATGAGTGTATTGCTGAGAACAGTTTATTGATACTAAGTGTCTTTAGCACCACTGATATGTCGGAGCTGAATGAGTGATCTCGAATTCGTCCTGAATGGACCGAATCTCAGCCACTGTGAAATCTTTCAGTTGAAACTTTGACCTGTGACTGAAGTCAGTCTATGCTGAAGAGCAGAAAAGCTGTTCCATCCTTATCGCAAATCACCGGCGGTGAACATTTCAAGAAACCCCAGAGTTTTGAACCTGCGACCTCCCTAACAGTGCCCTGAATAATACACCCGTCGACTGATATGCAAATGAGTGTAATTGTCGAAACATGTTCGATTTGAAACATAAAATTGACTGAAACTCTGGGACTGCGCTAACTCGATGAGTTCCAAGAACGGCGAAACCGGTCGTGGGAAGCCGCAGAGTTTTCAGTAACCTTACATCTGTAGTAGTTTGATTACTTAGCCGTTCGGCCACAAGCTGCTGATCATTAATGTGATCAACTCGCACTTGGAGGGGATATAGTGCTATCTTTTCAGCATGGATTGGCTTGAGTTACAGGACGAAATCTTGTTTGACAGCTCCCAACTCTCCACACATTTTGTGAATCCATCTCGTGTTTTGGTGTCAATATCTCTCTGAATTAAATCTATTAAATTGAAAAGATAAACTTTACCTTGTATCGCCTCATTAACAACCTGTTGGACCTTTTGTGTCAACGAAATAACCAGGTTCGTACAGGTTACTTCCACGGTAAATACCCCGGCCGCCGTATACGTGTGAGTGTATGTTTGTTCACTCCCGCTGTGAACTCGTTCACCGTCTATTACCCAGGTGCAGATACACTCAGAGCTTGTCACCAGCTTCAGTGTCAACTGTGTAGGTTGTCCGACAGCAGCGTCTGAGCATTGAACTTCGGTGAACTGAAATGCATCCCGAACGGTAACAGTAAACGTTTTCACACGAAACCCAGCCGGGTTGGACAGGTTAACGGTTAGCGGATAGTCACCTCCAGCTTTGTATATGTGTGTTATTTCGCCGGAAGTAGTCACTTCCTCAGGCGATCGATCGCCAAAGTTCCATTTGAATTGAATTGGGCGGCCTATTCAAAAGACGGAATTTGATTATTTAAAGCAGAGGACAAACTACAGCTGTTGTTTGGAAAGTGGCCATAATTCGGGCGGACGATTAGCCGAATGCTTACTTTTTGGAAATGAACCGAAGTATCCTGTATGCCCTCTTGTATCACTGTGTTTTTACATGTTCTAATCTAATCTATAAACAATTCCGTTTCACTGCTCAGTGAGCTATCTATGCTTATTACAGCAGCTGGTCGCCACAACGAACTGTTGTGGTGTGCCTCCATTGCCTAATCAGTGGGCTATAATTCGCGTGTTTGAAATCAAATCATACCAAATTCGTCTTTGTGTCAGAAGCCACATGAGCATCATGGCACTGATCTGCTTACACCTTCAGATCGATCAATAGTTTTCTATTTAACAAACTTCCAATTTACACTGATACCAGCCTGGCAAAAACAGTATACTTCCTGTTTTGGCGATTAGTCCACGCCAACGACTTGATAATTCAGTCACGTCCATTTGGTGGAGTAGATGCAACATACGCCTACAGCGTGCCTGCTCTCCTGGGTTCAAATCGCTGTGCGGCAATGGCTGTTCAGAACTGACGGAAGCGAGTGCAACTTATATAAGTCTCGCAACCACCCGCAAATAATGTTTCAAACTTATACGGTGCCCAACATATCCCCTTTTCTATTGCAATGCATTGCAGAGACCCAATGCATTCCGTCCGAAAAACCTCGATACCCGACGGTTCTACTTAAAATCAGGTGCAGTAATCAGGCACGTTTATACTTTTTTCAAGCGTATAATAGAACGGCATCTCGCGGCAATGCTTTAAAAATTGTACTGCAAACAAATACTGTCTTTGGGCTGAGTTGGGACGAGTTCGAATAACCAGCAGTTCAAATTGTAAGATCTAAATAAGTGATGGTTGGAAAAGCGATGTGACTCACAGCAACTCAGCTTATCGAAAAACTAAGCAGACTGACTCATTTTTATCCATTTAAAGAAGTACGTTAAGGGACATGAAGTTCAAAACTTCCGTATATTCCAAACTCAGCAAACAAATTAACTTTCCCGTATTTTATTTTCGATTTCTTCTGAACTGTTCCCACAGGTAAACGTGTCTGTTGTTTGAGGGTGAGCATTCCGCGACTGCGAAATTAGGGGGGCTTTACGTATTGTATCGTTTTCACAGAACTCTAAGATATCCACTTTGTTTGATATTGTGTCACTTGTAGGTACACACTACTGCCGTTACACAGCTAACCATTCATCCTGAGCAACGGTGCTCTCCTGATTCCACTTTCGACGCCAGGGAATCGCGGTTAGGTAACTGCTACATCGTCGGATATTTAAAACTGGAATACACTGCGCTGGAGACTTAAAACATCATTCAGGGATGGCTGATGTAGTAAGGGAACAAAAGTCAAGCCATTTGGATAGCTAGAAAATTCCACTGCAAAATGTTCAGGGTGATGTTCAAACTAAATTTGATTCAGGGATTGGAAAGTCATCCAAGGTATTCTAGATAGCGTGCATGCACCCTCGTATAGCTGATTTACCGGCCAATTAAATTACTCATAGTTTTAAGTTATTATGAGATAATTGATGAATTGTCGTTAAGGGTCCTATCAACTGCTATTCAAACTGGGGAGTGGTCGTCCCATATCCCGGATAACATTCTCATTTGTTCACCAATGACATGAAAAAGCCTAACAGACTGTCAGTCATTTCGTTTCACGCTCCCTTACTATCCAAATACAACACTATTAATCATTTACTAAGTTTCTTCAAAGAGAAATCCCAAGTAATCTCTCAACTGTGGACCTTGATGAAGAAGATAAAGATGAACTTTTAAGATAGCATTCACAGCACTTTTTTCACGTGAATCATACTTATAACGTCATACCTTCAATGGGAAAGAGGATAAGGTTTGCAGGAGAATTTGTCTCAAACGAGCTTTGCTCCAATCCACCGACATCGAGTGCAACATCCACGAATACTTGGGTTGAAATTTTCGCACTGCTCAGTCCTTTTTCGTAGGCTTCGACGGTCAACTCCACCTCCGTAGCTCCGAATGTTGTGAGTGTACCAGCCACCAGCACCTCACGTGGTTCTTCGAGCCAAGCACCGAGCTGCGGAGTCGAATCATTGGAGTAATTATTTCTGTAGCAATCATCGGAATTATTTACAATCTGTCCACATCACCCCTAATGTGAAAATGATTCTTTCTCAGATGATGCTAGCCTTTCGGTCGTTAGGAAATGACATACAATCTACATTCGCTAACATAAAATGGTCAGAATCTGGATAACACGGTGTGGCACTTTGAAACATCTCGACGGCGTAGTTGTTCCGGCTTTTAGGTTATCGATTATGAACCTTGCATTAATATACCTACAACAAGAAGCGGAAGTAGACAGGTATATGAGAAAATAATTCAAAAAACAGGAAGGGTGATAATGTCGTTTGTGATTAGCTCATATTGTCTCCTCAGTGTCAAACTGGCGACAATATGTGAGACCTGTTTAAAAGGGGCAGTACGATGACATAGCTCAGTACGCACCTTAAAATTGCGGTCCCTCGAGAAAATTGTGTCTTCTGATCCACAAAAGTGGTGCCGACGAAGAGCATTCACTGGTGGGAGACCTGGGGGAGATTATGGGGGTAAACATGGATCTTTTCCAGATAAGCCCCCCCACTAGTGCAAGAAGTGCATGTTGGAAAAGTTAAGGCCGTAAGTTAAGGACGTAACCTTGACCTATTTTTGAGGGAAACAATTCCTCATCTGTATCTAGGCTCATTTTGTGCAAAAAATTTTCCGTTCAGGCGTAAAACCTTTGATGAACTTTCTGACGCTTTCAACTCTCGTTCATGACAAGGAGACGGCAATACGTTTTTTGATCCATCAGTAACGTTTGTGCAACAATGGCCACCAAATGACACTTTCAAATGTTTCTGACAGGTGGAGGTGTAAGGCCAAAATTTAGCAGAGGAATTATCTAGTAGCCACACGACCGCTGCTGACTGGGAGCACTTTCTTCGCGATGTTTGCGCCTGGTGGTTTTGCAAACCAACAGTTATCGGTGGCCCAGGTCTACACGTCGAGATCGATGAAACGCCAATACCTCGCCGAAAAAACCACACAGGGCGAGTTCTTCCCCAGCAGTGGATTCTCGGAAGGATCTACCGGGAAACTAAAGAGGTATTCATGTATGCAATGCCAGATCGAACTGCGGCCACTTTGATGGACACTATCCCGGATCACTGATCTCCGATATGTGGACATCATACCAGGGAATTGGAACGATGATCGACATGAATTATACTCATGAAACGGTTAATTCAACGACTGGAGCTCAAACAAAAATATTGAATCTATTTGTCATGTCTACAAGATGCCAATGTGCGGCACACACCGATCTTTGGTGGACAGCTACCTGTGTGAGTTTGTTTGAAGGCAAAGGTACCGAAGAAAGGACCTTTTCATGCAAAATTATTACGACAAGCCACAAATTCACCCTCTTCAATAAAAGCTTAAATTACAAATTTCATTTCCTCTTTTTTCCAATATTTTTTGGGTGGCATGGGTCAATTTTTGGCGAGGCTTATATCTGGAAAAGATCCAAAAACATTACAAACAAATTAATTTACCATTTGTAGAGGCGTCGTTCTTCTACCGAAAGGCTGATTTGTCTTCAATTGCAGTCCACATGATTTCGGCTGGAGTTCGCTTAACTTCAACAACTCCAATCGCGGAATACACCGGTAACCTTTTGGGTATTAGTTTACCTCCCCTTATGACCAGTTTAAGCCGTGGAAATTTAAAAACTTGGGGAATGCTTCACACTCTGTTCTCCCAAACTCATACGAAACTGCATGACGGAACGGTGGTGTTGTGCGGGGTTGTGTTATGGCCAGGGTGGTTGTTTTGTTTCGTGTTGGAGTGATTTATCAATGTCACGAGCCAGATGTGCGGTCAAGCAACACAGATAACCCAGAAAAATCTAACCAGAAATGCATACCACAGCAATCGGAGTGGGATATACAACGTCAGGAATGATAAGCGAAGTTAGTCGCAGAATGCGGAACACAGAAAACGTGAAACTTAACGAGCCATTAACGTATGCGTACCCTGGCACAAAAAGGAACACAAGAGTTTAGGTCTGCTAAAAGAAGCTGAAAATTTCGGACATTCGTGGTGATCGTTTAGTTGCCAGCCTCTCAGGACAATATTTCAGGGTATGAGAAGAGCCTAAGGCCGAAAATCGCCCCTATCCATAGAAAGGATTGGGTACTTTTTTGACCCAATGTAATAAATGCACCACGGATCACGCAACACTTCACTCTTTTGCCTTAGTAGTAGAACATCTACTCACGTAACTTGGCGTTTGGGGGGAATAGGACGGAAAAATTACAACTATCCCAATTAATAGATTAAAACACGTTGTGCCACCGTCAAATGTATCTCACGTGGTTGACTCTATCGGACACATTAGCCGCATCGTATCCTGAACGTCTAACGGAACGTAGAAATATGGAGGTCGAAATGTGAATATCCCGAATTGGAGGTGAGAATGCATTTGGTCAATGTATACTCGAATGATGTGAGCTGAAAATTTAAATTCTTCAAGATGACCACAAGCGGAGAGAAGCAAAAAGACTTTATGAATTTTTTAGCGTTTTTTTTTCTCAAATCGAGCAAATCCTCGTGTAGCCTAGCCGAGTTCGACAACTTATGGAGCAATTCGCCGTTAAGTACTTGTAAAACCCAGTTCCAAGATTTTCACCAAAGTTATCGGTTGGCCACAGAGATATTTTCTTACCATAAAAAGATTTTACGTCAGAATAACTTGAATTCTACGGTTTTATAATTTGTGACCAAATTGGATATTATGATTTCATGGTATAAAGAATCCGGGATAGTTGGTAGTAGTCAGAATAATTAACAGAATAAATGCCCAGCGATGTTAGACGTTCAGACGGCTATTTCTGGCAAACAATAGACTTATTGTGGTCGTGAAGCTGCTCCCCCTCAACATTCTGGTGTTTAGCAAACTTGGCAATGTGGAGACAGTAATACTCCAATAAATATTTGTATGCCGTACCTGGGTGATACACGAAAATTATGTCAAATGGCACGGACTACTGACCCACGGGTTTTGCCTGGCAGTATATGAATCATCGCCATTCGTTCGTTGCAGGAATCCTCTGATCGTTTCACGGTCGTCCCAGTGGGCCTGAATGATCGCATTTACTTATATGAGTCGCTATCACTATTCTCGTGATTTACTCACCGACTGGGAGAGCCGGTAGATAGGACGGATTACTCCTTCGAAGGGGCCAGTCGATGAAACGCGGCGGAAACTAAAGAACACAGTATTCGAGAAGCCAACTAGGGCAATTTTGATTTACTCGTCTGTCCGTCCGAATTCGGTATTCGCTAGTATTGCCCCATCAATGTTTGGGCGTGTAAGGGCTCTGTGCACAGAGGAAGTTGATCGGACAGCGACCCATATTGAATTACAGAACAAACTTCGGGGTAGTGGATATCCAACTAGTTTGATTAGGCGTCAGTTACGAAGGGTGCTGGTACTGGTGGCGAAATCCAACAGGGAATGGATCGGGACCGCTGTTATTCCATATAAACCAGGGAGACCGGAGGTAATTCGAAGAATTCTAAACACGGCTAATATAAGAGTGGCTTTCCAGAGGGGAAACAATGCGCTCTGCACTTGAAGGATCATCTCCTGGAAAACAAAATTAGGAACTATGTCTATAAAATTAAGTGTAACGACTGCATTAAGGTCCATATAGGACAGAGAACTTCACACCAGAATCGGAGAGCATAGGATGAAAACAGCCTACCGAGAAACGCAAGCAAATATTGAGAGTTACTCAAAAACTCGGCAATTGCAGAACATGCACTGGACACAGGACACAAAACAGATTTAGACAATGTCGAGGTTTTTAGGCGAGGACTACGGCCCACAGAGACTGATGGCCTAGGTGGTAGAAATTACCACGCATCCGAGTGATAACAGAATAGAAGTCGTGGAACTGGCGAGCGTGTTGAGAACGGTCTTGGATCAGTCGAGCTGACACGTGTTGGTGTGCGTTTATCAGAAAGAGTAGTCATCATCTGAATCCCACTTGACCTCACCCCACCTCCCAACTAAATTGTCGCAGCACTCACAAGCCCACAAAAAACAACATCTATTGGCGGCAACTGTGATGAATCAATTGAGGCGTATCGGATTGGAAGGAACCAGACCAGATCGGAACTAATTTGAAACTGCCCCAACCCATCAAAAAGGAAGATTTTGGCAACCGCACTAACCGTCAAAATTGGTTAATTGACACTCAAAACTGATCTAGTGCGCTAATGTGAAGAGGTTTTACTGATTGGTTCTGTCTGCCTTATAACCTGACCAACTTGGTGACCTGTTTCAGTTGACCTGATGAAGCGAAACGTTGTCCAAACAAAAAAACGACCGATTCTTTACCAAACCCTTTTGAAACGAGGTTTCTTTCACGGAGTGTCCCAACTGACGGTCAAAAAGCTTTGATCTTCATTGAACTGATTGGACCATGCTGATCACTGACCGAAATCACCTCACTTGATCAAGCTTAATAACGAAAACCATTTGACAAGTTTAACGAAAAATCATTTAAAAGTTATTGCGAAGATGTGAGAATATGGTTCATTTACTCAAATCCGTAGAAATGAAAAACGAAGATTGGCGTATAGACAAATCACAAAATTATTCACCTCCAGGTGTTTGTTCTTTGTTGACAAGCTCCCACTGGTGATCGTGCTTCCAACGGTCGGTGCCTCACTCAAAGTGGCGCCCCAATCCGCTGGTACGTATTTGATTGCAGGACCACACGAAACGAGGCTTTGGGTATCAAAGAATGCGCTCAGACGATCCCCAGGTTTAAGTGTCCAGGACTGAGTGAGTCTGGCTACTTGCCATCCGGTTGCTGTGATAGGTACGGTCACCACCTGGTATAGAAAGAGTGAGGATCAAACAGAATATCGCGATCAACATTCCTTTCAACCTAAATTGAGAGACAGCTTTAGCTGTAAAATGAATTTCAGCGCATCAGACCAAAAAATCATAATATGGAGAAAGTTAGCGTTGTTGCCCTTTAAATGGTGAACAATCAGCTGAGAAGCATAAATAATCGACGCTACACATGGGTCTGCAATGGAGTGGATGTGTACGTGCTTGTACGTTTGACTGCTTGGGCTAATAAAATGGCATGAGTTTTGACAGCTTCCGTGGCAGCAATGCTCAACCATCAAATTTAAGGACTATCTAGAACCTAGCTTATTGTGTGCGATTTATATGAGTTCATGAGCAATCATGGTTACAGACTTCACTCGCCTGGTTTATGGGTGTATTGTGTGTCTACTCACATCTCTATTACAAAACATGGGTTATCTCTGAGTGAGTACCTTGTAATCCAAACAACCGTACATGTAGTTGCTGTTTGGCAACCTAGCTGTCAACGCTGAACTTGAGCAAATCAAAGGATATGCATTCGTAGGCATCTTCAAGGCTTCCGTGGTGTTCTGCCATAGTCAAAAGCACACTGTTGATATCACCATACCGCTTTGGGCTGCATCTGAATCAATCTCTTCACTCTTACCATGATCTCTGGTAGTCCCCAGATGCTCTGGTACTCACCTCCATGTCGACCCATTGTCCATATCCGATTCGATTTTGTTTCCATTTTTCAGGCCCTCAATTAACTATGCTTTTTGAACTCAAAGAATCAACTTTCTTGTGCACCGATACTTCGGAGTCCACCACTTCGTTTCCGAAGCCTAACCAAGAGCAATCAAATCTTAGCACTATTGTTTCAAATAAACCAGTATTTTTTTTACTTGTAAATGGCGTATTAACTGAGATCATTCAGTCGGAACCACCAGGCTACCGAGTGTACCCGAACTAAACACCTGAATGAAACTATCACCAAAACTGGTGCATGCATTTGCGGGAAATCTCTCGATTTTTTTCACTGTGTGCAGATAGTATTGTGGCTTTTGTGCATGTAGTCCATTACCTAGTTCTGATGGTGCTCCCTACTAAGACCAACAGAAGTCTATTTCGACTGACAGGTTTTGTCTGTTGGCACTGGTAAGATCGATGCAGTTGGAGATTTTATGAACAACACAGAACATTCTTGAGCACCAGGGTTGATCGAATAGATGATGACAGGGCTTTATTTAGCATGCTGTTCTACCCCCATAAGCTTTGGCTGAGCAACCTGGTAGCAGCGCACCAGCGACGCACTAGTTATCCACTCATACTATCGGGTTATTGTACCATGGCACAATGGTCCTAACAAGCTTGCAAGTGAACTGTCGATCACTGACGAGACATCGTAAACCCTGTTGTTTCGAATCACTCCACCTCTCCTGGGGCAGTTAATCTTGCGAGTTTACCCCAAAGGGTATAACCACCGAACATGAGTTTTGCTCTTATTAGGGCTCATCAGTGGTTCATATCTTTGGCCATGCCGGAAGATCTGACAGGCGAGATAAGCCTGTTACCACTACTCCACTGGTGCACATTGTACGCATCTGTATTGTCATGTCTGTTAACGCTTGAGCGATGTAATTGGTTTTCCAGACGTCTCGAACAGCTACCCAGTTACTGTCTAGGTTGTATCGATCGATTCGCCCTCCGAAAATAGTTGCATCTGCACAGCACTAGGACTGTTCCAATGACAGTGATGTGAACGTGAATTCTACAGATCTCGCGACTGCCTACAACTAGTTAGAAAATGTCCCAAACGCTTCAAGCTTCCACTACTTGACTAGGAAGCCCAATCGACAAAATCAAGACCTATACTGGGTCTTGGCTCGAGGCGACAGACAAACCAATCACACTCCTTGAGAGTTTGTTCAGACGACCATTCAGTTTCCTCCGGCAAGCGCAAGTGGAGTAGTGGTAGCACACTCACCTCGTATGTCAGATGTTGGCGTTCGAAACCCCGCATGAACGAGGATGTACAATGCTGAACGCTTTAATCGTAGCGAAACTTTATTTCAGTTCATATCCCACATCTATACGTTCGTTTTTACGCCACCCTGAAACGCCGGAAGCCGCATGGCTCACATGCCGGTAAATCAAATGCTTCCAGAAAGCGACCTGTACAGCGGTAGATAGATGGCCTCGCAAAAGAAAGGCTTTAGAGTGCAAAAGCTACTATTCACTTTAGACCTGGTGTAATATCTATGCAACTAGAGATTCCCGGTGAAGCGTTTGACAGCTAGAGTCCATCGGGAGTTGCCACTGTTGTGAGCACCCAATATCAGCAAAGGCTGTTTGGTTCTGTCAGCGAGAAAGGGAACAGATTTACCATATGACTATTAGTGGACATAGGGTGATCAAATGGTTAGCTCATGCTGACCTATTGCCACGTCGAATTGTCTGGATAAAGTCTCCTCATTTGTGCATTCATTACCCCCAAAGTTGTTGTCAAGTTTTAGTACAAAACCTTGGATAATCATCCAAACTGTGACCACATTTTCCAACCACCTTAAGCCGTCAAATAAGTTAGAGAAGGAAAATATCTTCGCCTCTGCAGGCCCCAGAGATATGAGGGGACGTTTATAACGTAGATTAAAGATCTTAAACTAGCATCTCTCTTCTGACAGTGCAAGATAAAGGCTCAGTTAGAATTAATTCGAATCATTCTTGGCACGTATTTGAGGGCAGCACAGAAAACAGAATCTGGACTTACGTGAACTACTTCATAGTCATACGCACTAATGGCAGACGATGCATCCATTCTTAAACGTCGAAGGTTGGTCTCACAGTTCGCAAGATTTTGGGCTACGCAGCTGCTAGTCGCCACCAGGAAACGTTGGTTGCCCGGGGAATAGTTACACTGAATTGATCCATCCGATGTGGAACAGCTGTCTGAATCGTAGTCATATGCACCAGCGGAGCACTTCACGCGCAACAGCTGTAATTAACAAGGTAAAGCGAAACCTATCAGTTTGGAAATTTGGACTGATGCTTGTCAGGATAGACTTTCCAGAAAAGACGAACTGGTGACGGCAAGATAGCAACCAGGTATTTTGTGAAATCCTTTCCATTTATTGAATCCAAAGGCAGATTTAATGCATTGGAGGAAGTCAGTGGTATAGGGTTTGTTTAGGAATGATAAAGAGAGACGTTTTCAGTCCATGTATAGACTTTGAGCAGTCCGTTTAGAGCACATAGGGAATCAATTGGCCCTAAGAAGCGTAGGAAAATGTAGTTAGACACAAGCAGCGCTAGTTTAGAGGGATGTAAATTGAGTTTCTGAAGATCAGCTTATTGACCTTCCTAAAGGTTTCTTGGGACCATTAGAGTATCTGCTCCTGCTTGGATGGAAATTTGTCGGAAACACGCAGCACACGTCATTGATAACATACAGCGAGATTAAACCCACGGCCACTACTTGAGCCGGTAATTTTGGGTGAATTCACCACACTACTTCACCAACAACAAGAGCTTGTTCACTGATCCTCGATCTACCTAGACTACCTTGCTAATGAACCAAACCCTCCTTAAAAGCGAACTTTAACGTACGGGCTGATAACTGCTGATGGTTCATTAAGAAACAGTAGGGTTCAGAGAATGAAATTTATGGGCAGCATCAGTCATGCAAAGTCAGAGAGAAATCCTGCGCAGGCTGAGCCCTAGTCCTTCTTTTGAAAAGAATTCTTGCTTCAGAAGAGGCTTCCATAGCTCACTTTCACTCTCTGGAAAACAGTAAATCTAGGCTTATTCTGTTTATTGTGCATTATTTTCACATGGTTTGGTAGATGTCAGTACTTTGGTATGCCAGCTAACACATCCCATCAGTAACTGGACAGAGTTCCATGATAGGAGACGCAGTGGATAACATCTTTCCTTTTCGGACTGATGTCACTGAAGGTTTATGGGACTAAACCCTGGGGTAACGAGCTGTAGCCACAGTGTGTCTAGCTTAATCCGTCATTTAATTTGGGTAAACAGATCACTTATAAGCAGGAGCAGTAAGAGGAAAACCCTGGCAACTGAACCTGTGAAATTGTGTGTAATCCAGTGAAATTTTCTGTTACCTGTTGAGAACGGAGGTAATAATTGTGTAGGGCTTTCTGAAAATTATCACGGATGGAGTGTCTGGGACAGCTCTCAGTCAACCTCGGGGTACTGACAAACTGAATGATACTAAACAAGTAGTAAACAGCTGCGCAGTGCTTCCCAGCTTTTCAGTATAGATTCGCTTCGCTGACGGGGCGAAATCTCCATTGACAGCTCGAAATGCATTCGTTTCCACAGTACAGAGCATCCCAAAGTTTGTTGCAGCACCCATCGGCGTGTCGGAAGATCAGTGTTTAATGAGGATTGTGCGTCCAGAATGTGTTAGAAACGCAAATCAGACGTGTGTTTCAGAAGTCCAATGCTTTCATTGTAAGCCGTTCCAGAAAGAATCGTACCAAACTGTTTACTTCACAGTGAGGGATATGTTTATGAATTTCTGAGGCTTGACCACAATTAAAGGTAGACGACGGAAATTAAGATGCGAATATCTCATTTAAAAAGGAGTTCACAGTCACCCATTTAGTCACTTATTTGTTAACTTGCTCATGGAATTACTTAACCATTTGCTGACTCATCATCATTTGTGTTAGGAGGCACTCCTAACGAACATATAAAGGTAGACAAATTAAGATGCGAATATCTCATTTAAAAAGGAGTTCACAGTCACCCATTTAGTCACTTATTTGTTAACTTGCTCATGGAATGGAATTACCATTTGCTGACTCATCATCATTTGTGTTAGGAGGCACTCCTAACGAACATATTGCTCAACATTTCTCTCTCTCTGTTTCAGCCTTTCATTGGACTGTTTGTTCCATTCCATTCTTGATTCTTCGAATCTCGACATTGGCTGTTCAGTTGCTGCAGTATAATTTCCTCAAGGCTTTTTGTCTTCTCAATTCCGTGTGTAACTGACAAGGTTGATTGACTGAT